CTATATATCACCTCATTATCTTTAGCTCTCTTTCTCTCTCGCTCTCTCAGTTCATGTTTTGATAGTTTGCTGGTTCTGACTTTAATTAGATGTGTAGAGATCGAGATCAGTAATAAAGGAAAGATGAGTAATTGGTGTGATAATACAGATGATAACTACGACCTCAATCTTGAAAGAGGATCCAACATTGATCATCCATCGATTCAACTCAAAAACCAATCTCAATCATGTGTCACAAGCGGTCCAGATTCCAAGATTATCGTTGAAGCTCCCATCGTCATGACTTGCTCTTCTTGTGGACAAAAGATCCATCAACAAGACGAACAGGTTATAAATTTCGACAATTGATTCACCTAATAATCTCTAATTTTCATCATCAATATATAGATTATACATCATTTACTTTATATTCTGATATAAGTGTTAATGGGTTTTTTTACTAAAAAAAAGTGTTAATGTTATTAAATGAAATTTAATATAAGGTTGGCAGCATCAAGGATTTACCAAGCTTACCGGCAGGAGTCAAATTCGACCCGTCGGATAAAGAGATCCTTATGCATTTGGAGGCAAAAGTATCATCCGATAAAAGAAAACTTCATCCGTTGATTGATGAATTTATACCGACGCTTGAAGGAGAGAATGGAATTTGTTATACGCATCCTGAAAAACTTCCTGGTAAAATCCTCTCTTTGTATTACTTAATACAGAATAAAGTTAGGAGAAAAAAAAAAGTTAGGAGAAAGAATACTGTTTACGAGAACTAAGTTAATGCAATTAGCATCATGAAAAATGAAAATATTAAAATGTTATCGAGAAAAAAGTTAGGAGAAAGAATACTGTTTACGAAAACTAAATTAATGCAATTAGCATCATGAAAATGAAAATATTAAAATGTTATCGAAATTCTTTTTTTTCTGAAGTAAATAATTACTTACATATGGATTTACACAAATACTTTTGGCTTTAACCATTTGTATTAGGGTTTTGAATTTTGAAAAATAAAAACTGTAGAAACTGCAGGGATATATATTTTGAGAAAGGGCTTAAAAACAATAATTTTTTTTTTTTTGAGAAATGGCTTAAAAACAATATGAATCTTCTTAGAATATGATAATATTATTTTATCTAAAAAAACAAATGATCATATCTAGTAAAGTTCTTGTGATTTGTGACATATAGCATTGTCTCTATAACTTTTGTATAAGATTACAGTGATTAAAATAAGATCCAAAATGATTGGTGATAATATTATATGTTTGAGTTATATGTCAATAGGAGTAAGCAAAGACGGGCAAGTAAGGCACTTCTTCCACCGGCCATCAAAGGCTTACACAACGGGAACTCGAAAACGTAGAAAAGTGAGCACAGATGAGGAAGGCCACGAGACACGGTGGCACAAAACGGGTAAGACCCGACCTGTTTTGTCCCAAACAGGAGTAGCCGGTTTCAAGAAAATCCTAGTGCTTTACACGAACTATGGTCGCCAGAAGAAGCCCGAGAAGACTAATTGGGTGATGCATCAGTATCACTTAGGTCACAACGAGGATGAAAAAGATGGCGAACCAGTTCTTTCTAAAGTCTTCTACCAAACACAGCCTAGGCAATGCGGTGGTTCCACAGAACCTAAACCGAAGAGTCGAGTAAACCTAAATCGGTTTAGTTATGAAAATCTTCCGGCCGGTTTTGGGTATGAGCATGGAGGGAAAAATGAAGAGAACACGCAGGTGATTCGAGAGTTGGTTGTTCGTGAAGGTGATGGGTCATGTTCATTTCTTAGTTTTACTTGTGAGGCAAGTAAGGGTAAAGAAAGTTTGGTTAAGAAGCAATGAACCATCTAGTATATAAATGCAGGTACTCTGTGGAGTAAAGATGGGGGAAAGAATGATGTGAGTGAGAGAGAGAGAGCACATATTCTTTGTGTGTAGGTGTTGGGTAACTATCTTAGTAAATTATCTCAAAGCGTTTGGGAGATCTTAGGTTTAACTCCTTTTTTTGGGATTAATTTGGGGGAGTAACTTTAACCTCGATATATATTACTAATGATCCTTGTTCTTATATTTTTATTTTGCCTGAATAAATTCTGTCGAAATTTGCAATAGCTCTTCTTTTCATATTGTTGTAACAAAATTAACAATGTTTTCAAACAATATTCTAATATGATACTGATATACCATTATTATGTTCATTTATATCAAAACTATCTTGTGTTATAATCAAAGGTTACCTGTGTTATTCTAATAATTATTCAGATAAGTATTTTTTATTATTTTAGGGTTTTATATGACAGTAACCGTAACACAAAGAAGAAGATTTAATATGGAAGCTAAATTACACTCTTCAAGGAGGTAATTGAGAATCGCAGACTACTCTTTAAAATGTATCTTGACCACTTAATAAAAACTAGCTTTTAACCCGCGCGTCCGTGCGGATGTATCTTCTATATAATTATATGTTTGTGTTAGTTGTAAAAAACGTTCATATTTTATGTTTCATAGGTTATTGAATTCTGATGTCAGTGTATCTTGTTCATTTTGTTTAATGTCTTCTTTTAAACTATCACATTGTATTTTTTATATTGTAATTTTTATTTGGTAAACTAAACAATAAAGTGTATAATATTATAGTATCTTGTTTAAATTGTGTGTTTTATTAAACTATATTATAAATTTTGTGATTGATATTATTATTTAAAATTAGATTTTATAGATATTTAAAAAAAAATTATTTAGACAGTAAAAATAAAAATAAAAACATTTACAAAATAATAAAGTCTCTAGCAATGTTATTAACAAAGGAATTTTTGTTAAATTGAATTGGGTAATTTGGTTTTGATTTATAGTTAGTGGATTTTAAGTTTTTATTAAGCCCATTTAAAATAAAGTGTTTTAATTTCAATGCCATAAGATTGTAATTTTTGAGGAAAACTAAAGGGTATTTTCTATTTGTACTCCCCTTTTAATAGTTTAGATGTATATCTATTTTTTCCTTAATTCAATAGACAATTATGTAGTATTTTGTTACATACATTTTAAATTCACATGTTTAAATTATCAAATTTTGTTAGTTTTAAAAAAAATATACATCATCTAAATAAATATATTTGTTAAGTATATATAATAAATATTAAATAATATAATTTTTAGTAAAAAATTAACTACCCGCGTGAATGCGCGGGTTTGTTTCCTAGTTAAGGTAATAGTAAAACTTCTTATTTTAGGTCAAAAAGTCATATAGTTAATACAAAATTTTCTTCATAACTGATAGAGTTGAAAGTACATTATGAAATTCTGTTAGAATTGAAGTAATATAAACTTACTAAATAATGAATTTGGAGGACATGAGTAACTATATTTATTGTCTGCTGTTCATAAAAATAAGTCAAGATAAGGGTGTCTTGTTTCGAACACTAACCAGGCTTGAGATGAATTTGTTGAAATAATTCAAATGTGTGAAGAAAACAAAAATGAATCGGTGGATCTGATACATATGATGATCTAGTGATCGTTAAAGTTCACTTAGATTAAAACTGCTTAAACATATTTTCCCCCAAATTGCTTGCCTTCGCGGTTAACTTGTGTGATAAGCAACATGCGTTGCAGGGACATTCAAAACATAGGAATAACTTCATATGCAAGCATTCTTCCTCCATCTGAAGTGATAGGAGGAAAGTTGGAAAACCCCGGTTAGGAATATATATATCTTCATTTTTTTTCAAATTTAGTAGCCTAAAAACGATTTTCTATAGCTTTTTTTCACTGAATGATTAATCAACACATAGAAACTATACTTGTGTTGTTTTCTGATAAATTGCTTATAAAGTAATGATCGAGCAATCAGGGATTGGCATATCTGGAAGTTAAGCGCAGATTTGGCATATCTATAAACACTGGTTTGCTTAATTAAACTAGAGTTTATGGTTTCTAAGAAAAAAAACATGTCATAAATGACATACATTTGACCTCTCATTAGATTTAGTTGGCTTAGTGATATTTCTACCCAGTATTTTCCATAATAAAACTTATAAACACTAGTATCAGAAACATCTTTAGAGTCGATCACGAAAATAAAACTTATTAAACACCAGTCTCAACCTTAATGTTAGTTGGCTAATCACGTATGATTCTCATGCTATTAAGCAGAATAAACAAATAAAAGATTTCAAAACCTCACAAGAAGTTTAAGCCTTTAAAAAAAGAAAAAATATCCCAAGAACCTAATTGTATTGAGCCGACTCTGTTTAAGCAAGTAATAAAAGGTTTACAGGTCATTATTTTTGTCTAGTCTCATAAAATATTAACAAAATACCCACAATGTGCCTGGTTTAGATTTAAGTCACTCAAGAATCACAATGAATAAGCCCATATCTCATTCTCATTCAACAATTGAGACTTGAGAGACTATAACATATATCTCTTTGTCTTTCTGAAAGTCTATTCAATTACATATTAATATAATTGGTGAAAGACTCACCAATGTAGATTGACTTATTGGTTACATAAAAAGGGTGAGAACATAATGAAATCACATGTACAAATTTGGTACGTTGTGTTTCTGAACAGCGTAGTGATTTGATTGTATGTTTCTGAACAACGTAGTTCTAACTAATGATTTGATTGTGTTTTCTCTGATGTTGTAAAATGTTATAGATAATTTCTCTTATACTTTATTTTCTTTTATCAGCATCCAAGTTTCAGATGAATGGTTTTAGTATTTATAAGATTTTGTAAGGTTAAAAATTATATGATTTGGGTATATGGTCTAATAATCTATCTGATATATCACATAACCTGGATAAACATTACTTCTTATATCTCGGGCTTGCTCTAGGAAATATATATGTATGGAAGCCATGTATTTTCCCACACCGAAAATATTGTAAACTGATTTTGAAACAATATTAATTTCACGACGAAAATCTGCAATAACAAATATTTTTACATCATTATAATCAGTACAAAATGGTGGACACGAGTCACACAACACATAATATTCTATCCAAAGGCATATTTATTTCTTGTTTAAAATTCAAAATGGCACGTCATATGTTCTTGTTTATTCATGATTACACATAGAGCTTCTAACATATATATATGATCTTCTAAAAAAACATACATATGATCTTACATTTTATTGAAATTTGCTAATTTTTAACTAACCCAAGTCGCAATGGAGAAATAGTAGTGACATTTTCTTACAATTCAATACACATTCTAGTAACGTTCTGAATTTGCAGAACCATTTTTTGTTTCTGATTCTGACTATATAAAGGAGTAACATTAATGCATTACAAACCTAAAAACTTAACAGCACATATTTACCGAATCAAGATTCAACATAAACTTAAGAATACTTTTTTTTTCATTTGAATTATTGAATAGATTCACAACCACAAAGCTCCAACATCCTTAAGAATTGGAACCAACTCACCGGAGATATAAGCTGCCATAACCTTATCTAACCCTCCAAACAACCTCCCTCCTATATAAACCGCCGGTAACGTCACCGTTTCTCTGCCGCCTTCGACGCCAATCTTCTCTAGCTCACTCATGACTTCCTCTTCCCTGTCCCCATCGATCTCTAGAACCGCCGGATTTACTCCAAGTCCAAAAAGCAGCCTCTTCACGACGAGGCACATACAACACCCTCTCCGTCCAATCACGATAATCGCGTTCTCCTCCACCAACGTCTGGACGCTCTCGCTGTTTCCCTGCGGCCGCAGAGATTTCGTTTCAGGGACCATAGTATAATGTCTTGTACAAGAAATCGTTCCTTGCATTTTTCAAATATGCTTTAAAGATGCTAATAATGGATGGGAAGGTTTCATGTTAAATTATATAAGGAGAGAAAAGAAAGTGTAGCCAACTTGATTACGTGAGGCTGTGCGTCATAGCAAACGATGGGTGACGCGAGTTTACGTCACGGTGAGTGTGGCGTTAGTCATTGGACCGTGTCTTTATGCCGTATCACATGATTCACGCTGACTTTTGTCATCACTCTATTATTCTAATCAAAATCAGCACGTTTTTTTTCTCCTTCATACGTGTTGTGTATTACATGGAGTAATAGTTTAGTAATTTAAATCAATAAAGAAATTGGAAAATAGCTGTTTTCTGTTGAGTTATTTTGTGTTAGACGGTTGTATAAATTAAGTTTAAAAACTGGAAATACTGATTTAGCATGTGACCAGGTAGTGATAGTGAATGCTTATTTGGATACCGACCAACGCACCGGAATCACGGGACTATATGTGTAAACATTTGGTAATCTTTTTTTCATAAGATCATATTTTCAAGGATTAGTAAAAAAAAAAAAATATACATATATATATATATAGAGAGAGAGAGAGAGAAATTCTTTTGGATAACCCTTTTAATTTATTTTCACAATAATAGTTCTAAAAAATGACCAAAATAAGTTTTTATTAAAAAATAAATATATATTTATACCTTTGGATTAGCTAATCTAAACATATAGTTTAGAGTTAAGAGGTGTGATTTTAAGTTTAGGATTTCAAAATTTTAAAAAGTAAATAAATAATTATTACAAATTTCAAAATAAAAATGAGACTATTTCAGAGAATTGTCCATATATATATATATATACTTTCAACATAAATTATACGTCTATCCTCTAAATACCTACATCTTTTTTTGTTTATGTTGGTAAGCTTATAATATTGTTGTATATACTCAAAAGATAATTTCAAATTTCCAAACACAATGGAGTCTACATGACCGGCTTTAGGGACATGCTTAATGAAACATTTGCTTCGGGAACTCAGAAATTTTGAAGAAAATTATATGAGTATAAGTTCTCAAAAAAAACTTTTAGACCCACAAAATTTCCTTTTACATAAAAATAGCAACATGCCCCCAAAACAGAATCGGCCCTAAGAGTCTAATGTACTCAATAATAAACCCGATTGAATTGATTAATATGAGAAGTAGTTGAGTCTCTCTTTTAAACCAATAGAAAAAGAAAAAGGATTTCACGAGAATGTCATATTATTTGTATTGTAGTAAGAAATTTCCTCATAGTGGAGCCTTATTAATGCACACAAGTAAAGAAATATTAGAAGATCCCCCACAGCGAACCATCTTCTTCTCATGGACGGTAGAAAAGTCGGTATACGTTAGCACAAAGCCAACAAGTTAGCAACTTAGCATTATTAGTTAAATGTGAAGTCATTGCTTTTTAAACTCACGTCACCCGTTTCTTCCTCAAGTCTATTATTTGGTAATATAAAACGTTTTAAAGTTCTCCAGGACCCAAAAGCCTTTCCAATTGCATCGTTCCACTAAATCCTGAAATGGAAGTGTTGACATCCATCATCGTCGTAAAACGTTTAAAATAAGAGGGTTTAAAATGCATGTTCACCAATAATTGTATATACTTTTCAGCAAAACTATTCAAAATAAAAAATTATACTCATAAAGAGTTCTAGTAAGAAAGTATTCTAAAATTTTGATAGTGAATCCGAAAATGTGTACTTAAGAATATGGTAAAACGCACTAGTCCCCAAATATCTTATATTTGTGTCAAAGGAATAAACCATACGTAAATCGTCTGAGTTATTGAAATGAAACAATAAATGAAACAAAAATCATTTCTCAATAAAAAAAATACAATAAAACTTTTATAAATTAATACTCGATAAATTAATATACACTAAATATTTCTATAAAATAATATAATTATATAGTCCCAAATTAAGTTTTTGGTTTAATTAGTATATCGATAAATTAATATATCTCTAAATTAATAAAAAATAAAATTTTGATGTAATCCCAACATTATTAATTTATAGATGTTTCACTGTAAATGATACTACCAAAATATAGAGTGTGATTGGTTTGGAATGTCAAGGCTGAGACTTTAACAAAAAGTGATTTTTTAAAACTTTTAAGGTTTTATAATGTAAAAAGGAATTGTAAAAATAGTCTAAAGCTACAAAGTGCTGGCTTTTTAAAAAAAACTAACGTAACAAGTGAAAACAATAAAAAGTGGACTGTGAGAAAATTTAGAAAGACTTTGACGGCTTTTAAAAATTTTAATCGTGATTGGTAAAAAAATTAAACTTTGAAGACTTTAGAAAAAAGTTAAAGCTTCTAATGTCTATTACCAATCGGTCTCATACTAAGAACACATATGACAAATTAGTCGAAGTGTGTGCATGACCAGTTCTTGACCAAATAGGATGAAATATTAATTTTGGATCTTCAATTTTTTTTTTTAAAATTACATGTATATAAGCTTCCGAAAAATTTATAGGTCCCCAATCTGTAAAAATAAAAATTTAGATGAAATTGTTAAAAATTACTTTAAGCCTCCTAATTCTTAGGGTCCTGTGCATGTCATAAAAATCTGCAAATCCTAAGCAATGTACGTAACGTAGCCAAACATTTTTGAATTTGTATATCTACTAGGCTTTCATCTCCACACACACGCAAAATACAAGATGCAGTATTACTGAAGTCAAATACTTGGTAGAATACTACAATTGCTTTTTAGCATTTTCCGTTTTTTTTTTCTTCCCACAGTAACAAGACCAATCAAAACGGTATCCAATTTTTTTTTTTTTTTTAACGAACTATGTGTGTTTTGTTGTTAAAACAAAATAGAGGCTTTATGGTTTAGTTATTGGGCTTCTCCACTAAGGCCCAAAGTTAAGCATCCTATTGATCCATCCTCTCCGCCAATAACCCAACCGAAGCAGGTGGTGGTGCGTTTTTACTGTGTCAGAGGAGCCGGAGATCTTAATCTAGAGAGCTTCATAAGAGCAACAATTCCTTGTGAATTCTCGAGATCTTCCGTGCTGATCGTCGTCCCAATCGTAGAATCTGCGGATTTTGATTTGTGTGTTCTTCCTTGATTGTATTGCTCGACTCCATTTCTTCGATTACTACGCAATGTCTTCAGCGCAAGATCCGTTCTATATTGTGAAAGAAGAGATTCAGGAATCTGTAAGTTTGTTTTAAGCTGTTTTTTCATTGGATTAGATTGTTAAAGGACATTGTTTGATTGGATAATGATTGGTTTTGTTTAGATTGATAAGCTGGAATCTGCTTTCCACAAATGGGAGCGTGTCTCTCCAGGAATGGGGGATCAAGTTCATGTCACCAAGGAGCTTCTTGCTAACTGTGGAAGCATTGAGTGGCAGGTAGGTTCCTCGTAGATCATCTTGTAGAATGCATAGGCCCTTTGTTTAGTAGAATTGGAGTTATTTTGTTGGGTGTTGAAGCTGTTTCCTTACTGATAGGAAGGTCGATGAGCTGGAAAAAGCGGTTAATGTTGCAGCGAAAGATCCTGCCTTGTATGGCATTGATGAAGCTGAGCTTGAGAGACGGAGGAGATGGACTAGTAATGCTAGGACACAGGTTTGTTATGAATAAAACTGCTTTTGTGAGAAGGCATAAGTTTGTTGTTAGTTGACTTGGTAAGATACATTTTTTTATAGGTGCGGAATGTGAAGACTGGTGTTCTAGCGGGTAAGGGTAGTGTTGGAGCTGGTAATGCGAGTGAAGTGCGTCGAGAGCTAATGAGAATGCCAAACTCGAATGGAGCAAGTAGATACGATCAGTATGGAGGAAGAGACGATGATGGAGGGTTTGTGCAGTCAGAATCAGATAGGCAAATGCTGTTGATAAAGTAAGTGTTTTGCAATCTCTTCTTCTTTTGCTTTATTAGGTTCTCCATTACTGCCTAAGTTGACATCATTTTGATGTGCTACTTCAGGCAACAAGACGAAGAATTGGATGAGTTGAGTAAAAGTGTAGAGAGAATTGGAGGAGTGGGGCTTACTATACATGATGAACTTGTTGCACAGGTTGGTAAAAATATGAGAAAGATATAAGAGTTTCAATATCTCTGAAGAGATGAGAAACATAAAATAATTGTTTTATCGCAGGAGAGAATAATAGATGAATTGGGTACAGAGATGGACAGTACGAAGAACAGGCTAGAGTTTGTTCAGAAAAAAGTGGGGATGGTGATGAAGAAAGCAGGAGCGAAAGGGCAGATGATGATGATATGTTTCTTGCTCGTCTTGTTCATCATTTTATTCGTTCTCGTCTTCTTGACCTAAACACACTGTCATTTTGTTTTGTTATGTTTTGTGGTGAAACAGAAGGGAACCCATTACACATACTTTGTGGCATTTTGTTGCTACAAGATGAGATGACTTTTTTCACATAAACAAACATTTTATACGAAAATAAAAGAAATCATAGTGTTTACGTGTTTTGGATTGCGTCAAAAATGGGGGTGTAAAAAGATGATATAATAGTCAACGAAAAGGAACTTGGGAAAGAAGAAAAAGGAAAGAGAAGGTCATCCTCCATTTGACAATATACAAATAGTAGCCTCCCTCCCTCCCTCCCTTCGTCCCCCCAATTTAGAGCGACTCAAGACTTTCTTCATAATCTCGATTCTTCATAATCTCATTTCTTCATCAGCTTTAGTTCCCAGATCTCCTTAATTGAGATTGTTTCTTGAAGGAAGAAGATAAAGATGGTGTTGCCGTTGATGAAACTGGGTACCCTATTGGTCAAAACCGTAAGCAAGCCATTAGCTAGTCAGCTTAAGCACCAAGCTAAAGTTCACCCCCAGTTTCGTCAGTTTATCATCAACTTCGCTCAGGTGCTTCTAGCTTCTATATTCTGGGGAATCTAGAATTTGTTGGGTTTAGGGTTTGGATAGTGATTATTGAAAGTTTACATTTTTTTTTTTTTTTGTTTTCTCTAAAACGTTGTTGGGGAAATTGTGAAACAGAGGAACCATAGAATAACGACGCAAATGCAGAGAAGGATATATGGGCATGCCACTGATGTTGAGATTCGTCCCTTGGACGAGGAAAAAGCTGTTCAAGCTGCTGTTGACCTCATCGGAGAGCTCTTTATCTTTATGGTACCTACTCTCTCTCGATTTTTGCACTCGCTTATTCTTCTTAGCTCATGTTTAGTTACGTTACACAGTTTTGCTGATGGTCAGTCTGTGTGGAAATAATTATTAAGGAAAAAAATTTGGATTTTTAACCGTCTCAAGATGTTTAGGGAAAGCAAAAGGTGCCTCCGTGTGACTGATTCTTTGTTAGTTTCTTCCATGAGAAGTCTCACTTGCGTTCATTCTTCTGTGCTATTTCTGAACTGTGTCTGTAGAGCTGATAAAATTATATATGAGCAGGTGGGTGGAGGCGTTGTTGTTTTTGAGGTGCAGAGAAGTTCACGTTCAGAAACAAGAAAAGAGGAAGCGCGTAAGCAGGAACTAGAGGTAACACTTGTTGGAAAGATAGATCTCGCCTCATTCAATGTAGATTCCCTTGTGCTGGTCAGGATTTACATACTGTTAGTTAGTAGCTCAACTCAGAGTGGGATGAATATATGTGCATCAAAATTAGCATATACCACAAATGTTTGCTGTAGAGGATTGTTTTATCTGCAACAGCTTGTAAATAATTAAGCAAAGTAGGATTGTACTAGTTAAGAAACCGGGGGAAGACTTGTGTGTTTGTTCAAAACTTCAAATGAGAGAGAAGGAATCACAATGTTCAGGTTTGGCTACTGAGATTGATGAATCTTTTTGGGAATTTACAGGAGTTTAGAAGAAAAGATGAAGAAATGGAAAAGAAAATGGCGGATCTTCAGAGCAGACTAGCTGAGGTTGAGCAACTTGCTAAGGCACGTGGACTGACCGGTATGTTTAAGTTAAGACAGCAACCCGATACTCAGGGTAGTGAGAAACCTGCTGATAAATCCAGTGAATCATCATCATCATGATCATTTCAATCAATCTCCAAAGTCAACAACAAATACATTAATGATTCTTTTAAGAGTGAGGACGAGTTTCTGATTCTTTCCTTCCCATTCTTGTAAATTGACCATCACAGATACATACATGTATCATCATCATTCTGCTTTATAACAACTTTCTAGTCAAATTTGGTGACTAAATAAAACAAAGTTTTGATGTTTATGTTGTAGAGCTCATTTTTTTAACAATCGTTTACGTGCATTTTGGTCTTTTAAGACTCTTTTTGAACATAAATATTTGATACCATACTAAGGGAAAGAAGCATGAGCAGAGACAGAAAGACAGCGGTTTTAGAGTAGAAACATAAAAAAAAAAAAAAATCTTTAGTGTAAACTTTTTATGTATACAAATTTGCAAGAAATTAGTGAAAATGTTGATTTTAGATAAATAAAATACAAAGAAAAGAAAAAAAGAAATACAAGAAAGAGAGAGACAAGTGTATCTAAGCAGAGCAGCAACCAGGTTTTTTAACAGCTGAGATATCATCTCTGCTTCCGACATTAATCATCTGTCCTTTAGGCAAAGCAGTGGTTGGATCATCTCCAGCTTCAAGTGCTTTCTTGCTAACCACTCTGTAAATCTGAGTCAAAACCTCAGTAAAAGCGTTCTCAACATTCAGAGCTTCAAGCGCTGATGTCTCCATGAAAAAAGTGTTCTCTCTCTCCGCAAAGGCCTTAGCATCTTCTGTAGAGATGGCTCTAAGATGACGAAGATCAGCTTTGTTTCCAACGAGCATTATCACAATGTTTGCGTCCGTATGGTCCCTTAGCTCCTTGAGCCATCTCTCAACGTTCTCGAATGTCACGTGACGTGTCACGTCGTAAACTAGTAACGCACCAACGGCTCCTCGGTAATATGCGCTCGTGATGGCTCGGTACCTAAATTTTTGAGTTTGGTTAATCAAGAAAATGTAATTAATGTGTTGAAACACGTTCTTGGATGTTTTTTATTACCTTTCTTGACCTGCGGTGTCCCAGATTTGAGCTTTGACGATCTTGTCATCGCATTGGATGCTACGTGTGGCGAATTCTACACCGATGGTGGCACGTGAGTCGTTGCTGAAGTCATTTCTGGTGAAACGAGATAACAGGTTAGATTTTCCGACGCCGGAGTCTCCGGTTAAGACCACCTTGAAGAGGTAATCGTAATCGTCTTCTGCTCTATATGCTCCCATGTTATGTCCAAAGCTACAACCTCTTTTTGTCTTTATGAGTTTGTTATTGATAAAGTTTTATAAGAACGGAAAGATTTGTTATTTGGCTGTTAGAAATTGGGATGAATGATACTTCAATCCCAAATGTTTTTTGTTTGGTTATAAAAATATTATTTTTTCGTTTTCTGTTGTTTGTTACGTTTCCTAAATTGGAGAGGAAACAATATGATCTTGAATTTTGGGAAGACAGCGAGTGGTACCAGAGAAACTCAAGGACTCTCCTGTATTTTTGTTGTGTTAATTAATGATCGGTAAGCGGTAAGCATTTCTAATTTTGTTTTTCTTGTGTAAACGAAATGGTACATTCTAAATGTACACACTTTAATTATTTGATAAAGCTTCATGTGTCATATATTATCATATTTTTGTTCTTGGAGAATGAAGAAATAATTGCATTACCATAACAAGAATACAAATTGTCTATTAGTACAATACATGAACCAATACAAACACTATAGAACATACATATTTTTTTTAACAGTATCCATCATCTTTTATCCCAATTTTCAGACCAAGTAATATAAGTGGTTCATCAAAGAATACTTGTTGAGTGAGATGATCCATTGTTCTTTATTTTAGAGCTGAGGCAAGACCAATCAAAAGGTGGAATGGCATAGGGTCCCTTAAGTACACCCTCAGCCATCAATTTGTATGCAGCCTCAGTCATATGAACATTGTCCCAGCTCACATACTTTGAAGGATCACTACAACATTCCATTTCTTCCCCACCGAATGTGAAGTTGTTTGATGCTAGAAAACGGCAGCAAGAAGGCAAGCGTCTGTCTATGAACCCTGATTGAATAAATAATTTGTTTAGCTTGTTAAAACAAAGAACTTGGTTGTGTATGTTAAAAATCAAGAAGGCTAACCAAATTTGGTTGCTTCTTGGGAAAGGCGTAAAAGAGCGTTGTAATAGTCTGCGTATATGATGTTGACATGAGGGTACAGCTTCCGGAGCTTTTTGAGTTCTGCCTGAAGCTGGTCGTCATGGTATACTCCAAAGTCGTTCAGCCATTTCAAACAACCTGAAGAATCATATGCTTCCTTGTTTGATGTTTTATATAATGTCAAATAGATTACTGAGCATCCGAGTGGGAACTCTCCTGGCACCAGAAATGTTCTTCCACCCATACTAATCAACTCCTGAAATTTATATCTATTCATTATTTGAAGGCAGATCAAGAATTTGATGAGAGGTATTATGAAAGAGAAATGTTTACCGTGATTGCAGAAGATATAGTAGTGATCACAAGTGGAACCAGCTCTCTGATCTCTTGAATAGGTTTGCCAAGAAAGAGTGGGTAATTATAGTCATTCCCTCCAATTTCTCCCATGAGAATCAACGCATTTTCGATCATATCTCTGCAGTCTAAAACCATTATTACAAGTGAGTAGAGGTAACAAAAACATGCAGTGGTCTAAATTAGTATAGGCTTTACGTCCATCTAATCCACAAATTAGTCATTAAGTGAAATGGTTTTTCTAGACAATAAATCATTCTAGAGCGCCTAGGCTCCGCCTAAACAATAGTCCTCTATAAAACGTGTAATTATCAGTAAGAGATCTTTTCAACATTAGAAAATTGTATTATGATATTTAAGCATAAACGAAGTATATAAAATAGAAGGATCAAAACACCTGATGGGGAGCCACATAGGTTAGGCAAACTATCCTTGAAGCTCTTAAGCTGAACTCCTAAACTAACATTGGTGTAAGCAAAGTTAATCCCCCTCTCCTGGAGAACTGAAGGATCAAGTGCCGTTGCTCCCCCGACCGCAAAATTTACTCCTTTCTCAAAGTTTGCATTTTGAGATCCATAAAAAGGTGGCACAAGCGGTAACCCCAAGAATTCAGCTGAGAACAGAACCAAAGAAAAATGGCATGAGAGATATGTAAATTTTTATATTATTAGTAATTCTTAGTAATTGTATGTAAATGGAAGAGCAGAAGATAATTATTAGTAGTTCTTCTTTTAGGTGTTTTTTTTTAACTCACCGATTCCGACAAGAAAGCAGAAAACCAAGTACCTTGTGTTTTGTTTTTGTTTTATATTAAAAGAGGAAACTATAAGAGTACAAGCTTCGAAATGTTTGGAAGATGTCCATTCACTCATCTATTATATTTCTATTATGTTAAAACAAAAATCATGATTCATTTCATTTGTAATTTTTAGTTTAGATATCTTTAAAAAACTTATAAAATATTACATAACATCATTATAATATCTTTCCATATTTTTAGTTTTATTTTAAATATAAATAAATATTTCTTAATAAAATTCTAACAAAAATTTATAACATTTATATTATTATACAATTGGTTAGTATATAACATTGAATTATATTTATTTATTGATAAATTTTATTATATAATTTAAATATTTTAGTATTAAAATAACGGACGGAGATAGTTCACATTATTTCTAAGTAAAAACAAAAGAAGTAGAGAGACAGAAGTAACAGTACCAATGAAATCGATGATGAGACGACCGTTTGAGAAACGGCCCGTGGGATGATGGAAGAATGTTTCTCCGTACGGTGGAAACGCGGCCGCAGGAAGATCATTAGGATCAGAGAGACCGAGCAAGTTTCCAGTGTCGGCAATGGAATCTCCGAAGCTGATGATCGATTTGAAGTTCCTGCAATTCGTTTCAGAGTTGACTTCAGTGAGTAGGAAAAGAGTAGATAAAAAGAAGCTAAGGAGCTTCTTCATCAAGGGATGGGAATCTTGAGACGCCATGCCAGAGTGTTGGAGGTTGCTTGCTCTACTTTTTTGTTTTGTTTTGTTTTGCTGGCTTGCTTGCTCTACTTTATCTTTTTCTACAGTTTAAAAGCCATTTACTCGGAGACAACAACGAAAAGGAAGCATCAATTAGTGAAGGAAAACAACTACTAGAGATAGAGAGAGAGATGGGGATGTGTTTGTCGTTTCATTGATATTTTATTTTCCTATATCTATTATATATTGTGTGTTTTATCTCCACGTTTCAAAGTTTTGATTTGTGATTTTTTGTTATGTCATTTTCTAGTTCATTTACTTTATAGTTTTGGTAGCTACTAGCCACCAATGGTGGTCCGGTGGATTTACTCCACTACGAAGGAGGTTACATGCTCCGTTTAAATTTGTAAATAATTATTTTAAATTTTTACTTTTGTACATAATTATCTAAATTTTATTTGTTTAAAGAAAAGTAATTAGCTCAAACTCATGATACACTCAACTAACTGACTAACTCAAAGTTCGTGACAATGCCTCCGCTTAATTATCTAGGAGTGGGCACGGATCGGATATCCGGATTTTTTAAGATATTTGTGATTTGCTTCGAATGTTACGAATATCTAATTTTGATATTTGCTTTGCTTCGAAAAAATACGGATATCCGGAAAAACGGATATCCGGAAAATAAATAGATATTTACGGATATTTACGAATATTTGCGGATATCTCATCCATTTTGATTAATACAAATAATCTTAAGATTTTGATACAAAATTGCTTTGTAAAAATATTTTTTCCATGATATATAAAATAAAAATTAAAAGAACTAGTGAATTTACATATTTTGTAATTTTTTTAAGTTTAAGTTACAATTATTATAACACAAAATTTAAGAAAAAATTATAATTGTCATATTTTTCTCTCTCTTATATGTAATACTTTTATATAAGTAATAATGTGAATAGAATTGTTTAAAATCATGTGCTAAAATAATAATTGTATAATTTTATACATTTAAAATTTTAAATATAATCAAGATATACATATATTTATATATTTCCGGATCGGATCGGATATCCGGTTCCCAAAATTTTAATATTTGTGATTTGCTTCGATTTTAACGGATATTGAATTTTAGTATTTGATTTGATTCGAAAGTTTACAGATATCCGGAATTTTCGGATCGAATCGAAACTAATAACGAATCGAATCAAATATAACGGATAAAATGCCCACCCCTATAATTATCCATGATTGGTAGCCACCAACGTAAGACTTTGTACAACCGGATTGGTAGTTAATACATGATATATTGATACTTAACTATCTCACTTTGTGTATAATCTCACATTGTGTATCATCTCTGCATTAAAACTATCTCACATTGTGTATTGTCGTTTCATTGATGTAGACAACACTTTTTAAACTTGAAAGCACTAAATCCAAAGTAATCATGTTTTTTTTAACATTTTGATGTCTACTGCAATTTAGAAACAAACGTCTGTGGGAGTGCTTTAGAAATCCAAATATCTACAGCTCAATTTTGTTAGCTTTCCAAAAAAAAAAAATATTTCATTTAATTTTTTATTGAAAAATAGGATAAATAAAACTAGTTAACTAGTTTTCTTCTGTCGTATTAGTTTGATTACACTGATTTTTAGTTTAAGCATGACGATAAGCTATTTTGTTTAACTGATTTTAATTAATTAATTCATATGTCAATAATATTTTGTGCATTATTTTATTATACTGTTTTATTTTATTCATTATTATTGAGTTAGTTTTTTACTACCTAACTTATATATTGTTTTATGATAATTGTAAGATATGAAAAATAACAACCATGATAACAATGGTGGTGTAAAGAATAGTGTATCAAACAACAAGAAAGATGTGGCATCATTTTTTAGAGATAGGTAAATAGTATTTTAAGTTTTATAAAATTAAAATATTAAATAATTATTGATATATATATATATATATTTTTTGTTATAAATTAATATTAATTAGAGATGAATTTTTAAAAAAGATTATTAATTTAATTTATAACTTTTAATAATTGTATTTTGTATTTATTCAATAAATAAAAAGTTTAAAATTTTTATATTTTATTTGTTAATATAATGTTAAATACATGTATTTAATATTAATCTACAGTTAAAAAAATCTACAACTAAAATCTTACAGCCAAAATTTAAAGCAATAAATTCCAAAACTACATAAAAAACTTACAGCTATAATTTTACAGCAAAAAAAAAATTAAAGCTACATCATCTACCAATCGGACACACTGACACAGACTATCTCACATTGTGTATTATCTTAACTTAACTCTCGAAGTATTCCAGTTCCCAAACAATGAATTAATCGTGGATCCTTCTTAATCCAATATCTCTCTAAGGAAACCACATGATTTAGCTACCAAAACGCACCACTTTCTTCCAGCTCATGTTAATTAATTACTGTGAATATCTAAAGTTGATGTTATATCATAGTCTTCTCCAGACTATATTAAACGATCCTAATAATATTGGATAAGCTTCATGTTTTTCTATTAATTTTATGTCATTTTATAATTGCATTTTAACAACTTTTTATTTAACTAAATAATCCTTTTTTTGTCGCCATTTTGCAAATTAATTTTGTATTTACTTCTAAACAGAATAAAAATATATTCAGATACATATTTGCATTATCATAACAACAATACAAATGTTCAAATAGTACATACATGATATTATTGGTATCCTTATTCTCTCTCAAATCTCAGAACAACTTGATCAGTTACATCAAAGAATGCTCTGTATCAGATGATCCACTGTTCTTAATTTCAGGGTTAAGGCAAGACCAGTCGAAAGGAGGGATCGCATAGGGTCCCTTAAGTACACCCTCAGCCATCAATCTGTACGCAGCCTCAGTCATATGAGCACTGTCCCAGTGCACATACTTTGAAGGATCATTACAACATGTAAGTCCTTTTAAGCCAAATGTCCTAGCTAATGAGGAACTGTACGATCCTCCAGTACCGCAGCAAGGGGGCAAAGGTGAGGGTTTGCTTAAGAACCCTGTTTGCACATTTGATTGGATAACTAACTAGGTTAGCAAACCGTGTAAGTTCAGTAGAAAGTATCAAGAAAACTAACCGTATTTAGCTGGTTCTTGAATAAGGCGAAGCAAAATGCTGTAGTAGTCTGCGTATATGATGTTGACATGAGGGTATAGCTTCTGGAGCTTGTTGAGTTCTACTAGAAGCTGGTCGCCCTGGTTTTTTCCTAACTCGTTCAACCATTTCAAACAACCCGTAGAATCATATTCGTCAGTATTTAATGTTTTATATGTTTGCAAGTAGGTAGTGGAGCATCCAAGCGGGAACTGTCCGGGCACAAGAAATGTTTTTCCCCCCATACTGATCAACTCCTGTATTTTATATATTTTTAAGCTTCAATATTCATTCTAAAAAACCAAAATTAAAAAAGAAAGTTTTTGCTTATGGTGTTACTTGGAGTGGCATATCAAGAAATTAATGAAACATTAAGAAAGAGAGAAGGCTTACCGTGATTGCAGAAGAAATAGTAGTGACCACAAGTGGAACCAACTCTCTGACCTCTTGAATGGGTTTGCCAAGAGAGAGTGGGTAATTATAGTCATTCCCTCCAATTTCTCCCATGAGAATCAACGCATTTTCGATCATGTCTTCGCAGTCTAAAACCATTATTACAAGTGAGCTTGCATCTTGGAGGTTGATAGAAACAGAGAGGATCTCTAAGCACAAACCAAGTATAGAAAATAAAAGGTTGAAGTTCCACACCTGATGGGGAGCCACATAGGTTAGGCAAAGCATCCTTGAAGCTCTTAAGCTGAACTCCTAAACTAATATTAGTGTAAGAAAAATTAATCCCTCTCTCCACGAGAAAGGAACGTTCCAATGCCGTTGCTCCTCCCACCGCGAAATTAACTCCTTTCTCAAAGCTTGCATTTTGAGATCCATAAAAAGGAGGCACTAACGGTAGACCCAAGAATTCAGCTGAGAAAAGAACCGAAGGAAAGGGCATGAGAAATATGTAAGTTGAAGAACCAATTAGACTTAACCACATTTAGTTATCATTTTTTTTTCGAAAGATTTAGTTATTATTTGTAAACACCATTTAGTTATTTTGTATTTACATGTTTTCAGGTTTTATAACAACAATCATTCAACTAGGGGAAGAGGCACAAAAAAAAGTGCCCAACATAATTGTTAATATTTCACTTGGTTTTCTGCTCACAACAAGCAGAAAACAATTATTAGATGATTTTTTTTTAATACTAAAAATTATCTGTTAAGCTTTTAAATTAACAAACAAATTGCATAAAAAGTTACAAGCCAATGATTAGACTATGATTGCTCTTTCCAGAGAATGTGGAGCTCTCTCGACATAAAAAAAAACAAATGTCTCTCACAAACCCCCAAGAACTTCAAGTAAGGACAAACACAGTAGGGAGTGTACCAATGAAATCTATAATGAGACGACCGTTTGAGAAACGGCCCGTGGGATGGTGGAAGAATGTTTCTCCGTACGGTGGAAACGCGGCGGCAGGAAGATCATTAGGATCAGAGAGGCCGATCAAGTTTCCGGTGTCGGCAGTAGAGTCGCCAAAACTGATGATGGATTTGAAATTCCTGCATTTCGTTTGCGAGTTGACAATAGTGAGAAGAAGAGTAGTTAAAAAGAAGCTTAGGAGTTTCTTCACCAACGGAGGAGAATATGGAGACGCCATGTGAGAGAGTCTAGGAAGTTGCTTGCTCTACGTCAATTCCTTATCTCAATTTATTTTGTGATTTTGTTTTTTTTTATACAACAAAACAAAAATAATATTGATAATTGTATATGTCCTTTCAGTGAGATTTAATGTTGATGGTTGCTTTTCACTTTAATGCAGTGGCCCCCCTATCGTCTCTTCGAATCTGATCGAAGTTGCGGTCACTGTTTTTTGTTTAAGATATTTATATTATTATTTCTCAAATCTTTATTTTCCATAAAGCTCGGAATAGTCAAAATCTTATGTTTGCGTTTTTCAATGAGAATAAACTCTCCAAAAACATTTTTTTTTTTTTTGCCTCTTAATGATAACCTCCAATTTGATTAGGCCATATCTCTACCTAACTCTCAAATTGTTCTACTTTCCGAATAATGAATATTGGTTCATTCTAATCCAATATCTCTCTGAAGATGTCACATGATTTAGCTACTAACACGAACCTAGAATCGATCGAAGTATGAAGTATCCAACACAAGAACTTAAGAACATCTGAATATGTATGCTGGTTCATACTGTTTCTCTTGTTTTAAAATCAGACCAGCTTGTGCCAGCTCTCTATCAAAGAATACTGTGTCTAGTGACCCAATAAGATACTTTTGTCTGTCTTCAGCTTTCATTTCGTTTAGGCAAAGCCGGTCCTAGAACCCGTAAAACCATGGCTTTAGAACATCTCGAACTCAAAACCTTATTTCAAAAGGAGTAAAAAACTTCAAAACTAGGATTTGATGATCATGAAAAGTTTATTTATTTGCATATCAGTCTTCGACATTAACAAAAGTTATTAATAATAACAAACTTCACAAATACATATAAACATATATTTAATATATTATACCATACACAATATTATAGTATTATATAATAAAAGATAATATAAATTACATATATAATAAAAAAAATACATATACATACAAATTTTAAAAAGTTACATATAAAAATATCAAATATTTAGGTATTATTTCCATAATGTTCTCATATGTGTTTATGTAATTTATTTTCTGTGCTAACTTTCTAATGTATTTTTATTTTGTGTGAACTTTGTTTAATGTGTTTTTCTACTGTGTGAACTTTCTTTTAATGTTAAGGAAATATTTATCATATTTTAGTTTATTTTGGTATATGTATTTATAAGTGCCTTTAAATTAAGTTTAGTATATGTATTTATAAAAAATAATAATTATAAAGACCAAAAGGAAAATACAAAATAGTTTTGAAGTTTGAAGAATATTGAAACTTCAAATTTGAGGTTTCACTATTCAGAATCTCAAAATTTGAGAGTTTGAAATTAGGTTGGAATAGCACAAAATCTCAAAATTTGAAGATTTGAGATTGGGTTGGAGATGCTCTTAGGCCTAGTAGTTTAAAGCTTTGTTGGTTTTTCCTTACGGATGTAGTAGTGCATGTTCAATTCTAGACTCATGACCTTCTTTTTTTATATTCTTATTATGTGTCTTGTCCGCATGTGCGTACATAACTATTTTAAAATAAATATATTATCAGTTCAACAGTAATTAAAGTAAATTATTGTTCATACATTTATAATATTTAATAAAAATTAAATAATAAAAAATTTATAAGTATACAAATTTGTATCACAATAAATATTTTTTATCATGTAATGTAAACTTAAAAACAATAATAATTGAAATATTTAGTAATAAATTAAATATTAAACTATTTTCATATGACAATGTTTTTATATATAATAAAATTACTTTTTATTGCGTAAAATAAATCTGAAAATTATTATATACAACATATATATATAGGGAGCTAGCTTTTATAATTTAAAACAATTTCTTAAAAAGGTAAAATATTTTTGAATAACACAACATAATCCTTTTTATACAATGATAATTATAAAATTTCTGAATTTTGTAAAAAATTTTGGCTAATTATATATTAACAAATATAATTATTCATTAACGTTAATAAAGACTTTATAACAAATATATATTATTTATAGATAATGATAATTAGCAAATCAATGAATTTCTTTTTTTAATTCATGGTTAATTATATCTTAATTTGATTTTATGAATCCATCGATTTGAGAGAGAGCTTTGTGGCAATGGTGGGTTTAGTGAGAGCTTCTTCTTGGGAGGGGAACGATGAAAAAAAAGGGATGGGATGGGATCTTTCACGCTCGCTCTTCAATTTTGAAACAAAAGCAATCTCGTAACCGAACCGGATTGATCGGTTATCTCGCTCGGTTCATTAAAATCGGTTCGTCGATATAAGTCTTTTTTCCGATACGACGGCGTTTTATCGTACGCGCTCCATTCTTTTAGCGAGAAGCCAAAATCAAACAAACTCCATAGTTACTCATATGTTAAAAGGATGGTCGTGGTGTTAACGCGCTATAACCGAAAGTGGGTAAATTTATAAGTTGGTTTTGGACAAGAAATTTTCTTTTTTTTGAAAAAATTGTTTCATATTAATGATTATATCAACACAATGTACAAGTTAGAAACTTTACTTGAGAGTTTTGAACATTTTAAAATTTCTAATTATCTCGCTCTAGGAACAATGTTGCTACTCACATAGATATCAAATAACAAGGATGTTTAGAAACGGCGCCGTATTGCTATTAAATGATTTGATCACTGTTAAAAGCCATCTGAGAATATAGCAAATGAACTATATATATATATAGAATCAATAAAACCAGTTGAAGAATAGAATAATAGTACACTCCATGATCCAATACAGGCACTGAATAACATACACGACTTTATCAATACTTTTTATTCTCTATCAATTTTCAGACTTAGTTATATCAGTGATTCATCAAAGAATACTTTTTGTGTCAGATGATCCATTGTTCTTAATTTCAGAGCTGAGGCAAGACCAATTGAAAGGAGGAATCACATAAGGTCCCTTAAGTAAACCCTCAGCTACCAATCTGTACGCATGCTCAGTCAAATGAACACCGTCCCAGTTCACATACTTTGAAGGATCATTACAATATTCAACTCCTTCAAACCCACATTTCTTACCAACTGTGTAGTGGTACTGCCCTCCCAAACCGCAGCATGCGGGCAATGGTTTGTTCATAAACCCTGATTGGATGATTAAATTGGTTAGAAAATCATATATATCAGTGAAATTGGTCTGGGATGTTCAGTAAGAGAGGCTAACCAAATTTGGCTGGTTCTTGGAAAAGACGTGCAACAGCGTTGTAGTAGTCTGCGTATATGATGTTGACATGAGGGTACAGCTTCCTGAGTTTGTCGAGTTCTGCAAGAAGCTGCTTGTTATAGTATTCTGCAAACTTATTCAGCCATTTCAGACATCCTGTTATAGGATCGTACTCTTCCATGTTTGGTGTTTGAAATAATGTTAAATAGGCTACTGAGCATCCTAGTGGGAAATTTCCAGGTACCAGAAATGTTCTCCCCCCCATACCAATCAGCTCCTGTATATATATATATATATATATATATTTTTTTTTTTTTTGTTATATTAGTCCCAAAAAAACAAAAAGACTTGGTATAGCTAGTAGTTTTTAGTGTCCCATGGATCCAAAACAAGAATTTGATGAGAGGTTGTACCGTGATTGCATTAGAGATAGTACTGATCACAAGTGGAATCAATTCTTTGATCTCTTCAATGGGTTTGGCCACGAAGAAAGCATAATTCAAGTCATTGCCTCCAACTTCTCCCATGAGAATCAAAGCACTCTCCATCATTTCTCTGCAGTCTGAAACCAATATTACAAAGTAAGCCATTGTTTAATTGTTTACATGTGTACATTATATTAGAAAAATAAAAAAAATAAAAAGAATACATGTGAGCTCAAGATTACAAAGAAACGTGTTGAACATGCACACCTGAAGGAGAGCCACATAAGTTAGGCAAAAGATCCTTGAAGCTGTGAAGCTGAACTCCTAAACTGACGTTTGTGTAAGCAAAATGAATCCCTCTCTCCTCTAGAAAGGAACGTTCCAGTGCCGTTGCTCCTCCCACCGCAAAATTAACACCTTTCTCAAAGTTTGCGTTATGAGATCCGTAGAAAGGAGGCACAAGCGGAAGATCCATGTACTCAGCTGAGAACAGAGCCAAAAGGAAGAGCTGACATTTTTTGTAATTCAAGAATATGATGTTTTTTTAGAAAGAATTTTAAGTTTATTTAAACAAAAAAAGTTTTTGTACAATGGATGTGAAAATTAATCTAGCTAAAAATAGCCTTCTTTTTGTTTTAATTACAAGTCAACGATAAAATTTCAAGAAGATGAATCTTTAAAGTTACAATTTAAAGAAAATGGATCTTTTCAGTACACTCACTAATTCAAACTATTAATAAGTAAAAGACAAGACACAGTAGAGAGACTGTACCTATGAAGTCGATGATGAGTCGACCGTTTGAGAAACGGCCCGTGGGATGATGAAAGAATGTTTCTCCGTACGGTGGAAACGCCATGTGAGGGAGATGGTTAGGATCAGAGAGGGCGAGCAAGTTTCCTGTGTCGGCAATCGAATCGCCGAAACTGATGATCGAGTTGAAACGCATGCACTGTGTTTCAGAGCTGGCTGTAGCAAGAAAAAGAGTAGATATAAAGAAGCTCACGAGCTTCTTCTTCATCAACGGAGGAGAAGAGGGAGACGCCATGAGAGAAATTCCAAGGTTGGGGACCAACAACACTCGTCCTTTCCCATTTGAGATCTCTCATTTATTTATTGATTTATTAAAAATAATAATAAATTATACCCAGTGGGTAGAGAGAGAGAGAGCAGTGGGAGGGAAGATGGACTTCTCTTGCTGTGTTTGTATTTTTAATTCAACTCTTTCTAATTATTTAATAAAATGCAGTATGTTTTCTAAATATTTTTGGTTGAGAAATAAGTGAAATTTAGTATTGTCTCTTTAATAGATTACAAATTAGTCAGCTGTCTGTCATAAAAAGACTTTGCTTGTGACGTGTCTAATGACTTCTTGTTCTTTGAGTAAGCTATCACCTATATCCATATTTAGCCCCGGCTTATGTTTTCACAAGAGACAAGACTAATGGAAATAACTTGTAAAAAGGCCTTACTCTATAGAAAATGCTCTCTGCGCAAGCACCATGTTATGTACACATGGCAAGAGGGTCACTATATCAAACCTTTACTCCTACATTTTATATAAGTTGAACTGTATATTACATGATATGATATGGTTGGTTCGGAGAGATTACAGTCTTCGGTTCTGAACCTCGTGCTATTGGAAATTTGTTTTGTACGGTTCTCTTAAACAGCAGCAAGGAGGTAAGGACCTGTTCATGAGCTTTGAACAGTGCCATTAGTTATTTAGTTCCATAGTAACAAGCACATTTCAGTTGTATGTATTGCAAGTAAATTCATAGAATTTTGAGCTAGATTTTTTTATGTATTGTAAGTAAATTCACATAACTTTTTTAGATATCATCATTTTAAAATATAAGATTATGAACTCAGAATAATTTCACTAGATAACTAGTCAATATTGTATAAATCATCAAAGTTTTTTAAAAATAAATCTTCAAAGTTCCAAAAGTTATAGTCTATTTTGAAACATAAATATTTAAGGGAAAGAGAGCGAGCACAGTTCCTCAATGCACCAAAAGAAAAGAGAGAGAGATTAAAGTTTAAGTTTTAGAAAAAAAAAAAGTTTTTAAGTTTTAGAGAGGAGAAAATGTTGGCTGGGTAGCATAAAGTTGTCCTCTCATAACCGTCGTTGATGAGTCTTGGTTGGATTTTGGGAACGTTCCTTAATCAGTCTTCGATCTCTTTTGCCAGTGGACGGTGGTCTCTTATCCGGTTCTTGCCGTCGCTGATTTTCTTTTGCTCCTGTACCAACTTGTAATCCTGAACCATTGCTCGGAAAAGTTAATATATATATATATATATATATATATATATATATAAAAATATAATATATATATATACTTAAAAACTGCACAATAAATTTAAATTAATTTCGTTCTCAAAAAGTCTAAATTATAAACAAAGTAAACAAAAATTCATTACCATTAAAACTTCTCAAGTGAGGATCAATTTTCAATCCGAGGCTTTCATACAATGGATCATATAATTTATTCTGTGGCCTGAAATGCAAAGTGAAACGTATTGATTAGTCATCTCAGATTAAGATTTAATAAAAGTAAAATTTTAAATCTAATTATTATGTAACTAACTAGTTATCACATGCGAGATATTAATTAGTTAGTTCATAATTAAACTACTTATGTATGAGTATGAGGCATGCTAGCTTGATAGTAATTAAATGTTTTATCTGGATGGAATAAACGAGGGATGAATAAACCATTAGGATGAAATCAATTATGAAAAATAGATACATGGATGGGATTTTTACACACAAAAAAAAAGATGAATGGAACATGTAGAACAATAAATAAAAAAGTAGGCGGGGCAGTATATACCTTTTTTCACCAAGGTTGACTATAGTTAAATCAACATTTCTTTCTGGCGAGACGGTCCTCTGCATTATTTAATTAAATCATATTTATCTTTTTTCAATTGACGTTGTCTATTTTGTTGAAGAAAATGTATGTGCATTTTGAGTTGACAAAAAAAGGGCCCAAAAAAATGTATATGTATTGTGAGAAATAATAATACCCTTCGCTGAGCAGCCGATGATGATTCCACATGTTCAAAGCCACTTGTGTCATTTCTTTGTCGACGCTTACGCTCAAACAGTCGACTTGGGATATTTTCTTGTTGACGCCACAAAACGTTGAACTGTAAGGTATATGTTGTCAATAAGTTTTTGATAGTTCAGTTTTTATATATTAACGTGAAAATCCCAAAATAGTTCCATTCATCTCATAGAAAATATGGTACCTAAAAAAAAAAAAAATATGGTACCTCTATAGGAGCGAATGCTTTTGTGCTTGGAAACAGATGTGCATAATCTTTGAGGGTAGGGTATTTGACACCCGACGAAGGCTTATTCACTAACTCTTGCACGTTTACTTGGTTCCTATTAAAATGAGGACAAAATAATATAAATCTAACAGCTGAAGAATATTGTGGAACACAAAAACTTAATTTAACCCCCTTTGTATTAGCTTAGATCAAGCGATCTACTTTGTTAGACATGATGATACCTTGTAGAGCTCGACGGTGTTTGAGGGAGTTGGACTTGATGATCTCTTGTAGAGCTGGACGGTATTTGAGATAGAGGAGGGGTCACATAATTCCGATTCTGTAGAGGACATGTCCTACATGGAACCCAAATTGATTATTTTTTTCATCCTTTCAATATAAAATTAGAAAGTTGCATAGTGTTTATTGAAAATGTTATTTGAAATTAAACTTGACTTGGTCACGCTTAATTATAGGTTCATGAGCTATCTTTTATTAGACCACACCAAAATAACTAAGCCCAACCTCTAACATTTCTATACAAATTATGACTCTAAAAAATTGTTATCTCTTCAAAGATGTCTAAGATCAATATTTTGATATCAGTTCTGAATATTCTAGATTACAATGAAATTTAACTACATATTACATATATCTATGCTAAAAGTTAGTATAATATTTATCAAAATCTGTGGTATATATATACAACTTTAGGTGATATTATAATGCACCAGCGTTAATTTGTTTTACATTTTAGAAATTAGGATAAGATTTATAAAATATTTGTAGCTCAGGAACGTATAAACAGCTCCATCTTCTATTTTATTTTAACCCAAGAAAATCCAAGTAATAAAATCAAAGCAATAGAAAAGGGTGTTTAATATTCTTAAGTTTTTTTTCAAACGTCTCCTATTTTTCAAAGTATCGAGTAACTCTCTGGTTTCTTTCAATTTATTTTTGGTAATATTGTCTTAAATTAGTGCTAAATACTATACAAAATTATAAAAATGTCTTACCTAGTCACCTCTGTAACCATCCTTGGGACTAGAGTTTCGTCTCCCTATTAGCTTGAACAAATGGAGGCGGTTGCTGGTCGTATATGTTGGAATGTGAATCAACTAGGCCGTTCTGGTACCTTGAATTTGATGGGTAACTTTGTGATCTGTATATCATGAAAATTATATCTGTATTAAAAATATACAGAACAATGTTTCAAGTAAATACAAAAGTTGTATTTGGAATTAATTAGAACATACAAAGGTAATGAAAACTGCTCTTGGAGATGATTTGACAACTCAAAAGATTGATCAGTCATCACAGGATGTGCATATCCACTGTTTCCTTCCTCGATTTGTTGACCAATTCCTCTCTTGTTCACGTTTAGATTATACATCAAAACTAGTTCAAAGTAATCGATGATTAAGAACACATAAATAAGATGTATTTACCGTTGTAGAATCATTTGGTTCCTGAAAAGGATTCAGCGTATTTTGGTTGAACAAAAATTGCTGATCCAGTTGTCCCTTTCCGCTTCCTTGTAAATACTCATGTGGATTGCATCCGAAATGTTGATCTTGCTGCTCAAGAAATGGCATAAGAATTATCATTCAGTAGTTATGTCAAAAATTTGACCTTATCAATATAGTTTCTTCTTGCTGGCACATATTAAAGATTCATAAAATTATGAAGCTTTATTTACCATTGCAGAATCATTTGGTTCCTGAAAATGATTCATCGGGTTCTGGTTGAAAAAAGATTGCTGATCTAGTTGTCCATTGGTGTTTTCTTGTAATGAATCAGGTGGATTGTATAAGAATTGTTGATCTTGCTGCTTAGAGTAATTGCATAAGGATTATCATTTAATAGTTATGTCAAAAATTAGACCATTATCAATGATAATTTACTCTTGCCGGCCCATAGTAAATATTATGGGAGTTGATTGGAAACGGCTGTGGTTTTACGGTTTTTTATAGAAATTTGATTGGAAACAGCTGTGGTTTTACGGTTTTTTATAGAAATTCGACTTTAGGATTTTTGACCCTAGTTTTAAGTTTTTTGCTCTAGATTCATTTTTAAATACTATTAAAAGCATTAAATAAAAGTTGTAGAAATTTTGATTTCCAGAACTAAAATATTTCTTTTTTAAAGTTTTTGACTGTAGATTTATTTATTTAAATCATGATTTCTTTATAAAAATGATTTTATAAAGAAAAGTAGCTTTTTACATATCTACAGCCCCTTCCAATCAAGCTATAGCTTTATTGCCAAAGCTAATTAAAAACATTGACCACCATAATAGACAAAATAAGGAAAATAAAAAGAATAACAAAGTAGAGAAGAAAGGAAAGGAAAAGAAAATTAAACTAACTGAAATGTTCACTTTACCATAGCAAATACATCTGGCTCTTGACAAGCATCCAACATGTTTTGATCGAATAAAAATGGTTGATCTGATTGTATGTTTGGCAAGTTTTCTTGCATATACCCATGTGAACTGCACAATAGCAGCTGCTCCTGCTTAGATACAATGAAATGATTTAGTTATCATAATGTATTTTAATTAATGTTTAGTTTTATGGCATATCATAAAATTTAATTTTAAAAAGAAATGTAAGTAGCATACGATTTCAGGTGGATTTTGCACTAGTGTTAATGTCTCTGGAAGTGGGACTAGATCTGGAGATTGTGCACTCATTGAGGGGTTAGCCTCGCTCATAGCAAGATTGTTGATTA